TTTTACTTGTATTGCATGTTTCGAAGCGTTTCTATCATGAACGCAAGTGTTTTTTTTATTTTTTATTGCAACATGAATATAATATTTAACAAAGATTGCTAGTAATACTGAGAATAATGTGAGTATTCTCGACCACATATTGCTAGTCGAAATCTGAATTTGCACCTTCAAATATTTAGAATCGCAAACTGTTCCGTAATTTTTTGCCGTAGACATACCAACAAAATGATGAAAATAAGTAAAAGTTGGAAAAACTTTTTGTGAGCAACCTGAGTTCAGTTGTTGACTCAGTTAAGTGCCATGTTACACATACTAGTAATGCTGCACAGAGAAATGTTAAAACTTGCACTCTCTATTATAAATAAACCTTGGAGAGGTATGTATCCTGAATTAGGATGTGTCATTGCCAATTTTAATTTTAATTGACTTCAAGGTTTTTCATCTATAATATAAAAATGAATCGCTGAATGTGTTGCTAAGCGCAAATCTCGAGAGCAGTTGAACCGATTTCGCTAATACTTTTTTTATAATATTCCATGAAGTACGAAGATACTTACGGAGAGAAAAATTTTAAAAATTGCCTGAATAATTCTAAAAACAACACTTTTCTATATTCCCATACAAAAGATTCGTAATAATACTTAAAAGTCAATTTGAACTTTAATACCATATCATAAAGTTTAAGTGTTAGTGAAGGGGTTCCGGGAAGGCAAAACAATTGAGTGATGTTAGTATCGTATAAATATTAATGTCAATATTTGGCAAAATTTTTATACACACCGACAGATAGCTTATGTTATAAGGAGTAACTTGGGCTGCTTTTATTTTAGGGTTCCGCTAAAAATAACTCCACGCGGGCGAAGTCGCGGGAAACAGCTAGTATTCAATAAATGTCTGCAATTAAGAGTTTCTGCTGTTATCATTTTTATAAAACTGAATTTACAAATTACATTCCTGATGGTAAGTGGCTCCTGTAGTATATCGAGGCTACAGATGCGTTGTCACCTCTGAGGATTACGATGATATGCCTCACATCTTCACAGCCTTTCATTATACTGACTCTATACACTTTATAGCGGAACACAGTATTGAACGCACTGCTGTTTGGCGTCGGAAATACGTAAGACAAAAAAGAAGTTATACCATCTAATATATTCAAGCATTATATTTTCAGAAATGTACTCGAACATAAACATGCCCATATTTATTTATATAATCATTACCTTCTCACATTATAATAACCTGAGTAATCTGTTTTTACGACCCACCTTAGTCTTAATTGCACATAACACAATTTTCTTAATAATAAGAATAATAATATACGTTTGTGTAATTAACTTCTTATTAATCTAAAACTTCATTGAAATTACAATAAAAATAATAGTTATTTCAGTTTGTAAACAAATATGTTTTTAATATTGTGCGCCTCTCAGGCGTATATTTATCTTTTCAGTACTATAAAATAAGATCTTTCTAGGGTTAAAAAACATATTGATTTGTGTAAATTTATAGCTACCGTTTTAGACCAAGTCTACATAAACTTAAAAACAGATTTGTAGACTCAGATTATAATGTGGTAAGGTGATAATAATATAAACAAGAAAGACTGTGGTAGGGCCTTAGAATTACATAGACGTTTTCTATTTTGTTAAATCAACACTTTTATGCGCAATATTCATCGATCAGTGCATTACAGGCATTCATGTTAAGCGGTTGTTTCCCTCATCATTCCAATATAATTTCGATTATCATCACTTTTAGCATAATCATATTCTAATTTTATCTGTAAACAAGTGTGGGAATTACACCTCACAAAGAGCGCAGTACGAAAGGGTCGGTTGTACAGGGGTAACACCACGTTTTCTACCAGCGTTAAATAGCAGCATTGTGCTGCTATGTTTTGTATGGTGAATATTGAGATTCCATGTTATTCTGTGATGCAAGAATCTTACTTTATAGAAATCTATGTTTATACAATAAATATTTATGCGTGGTAGAGCCATACTGCAGTTATACGAGTATTAGTAGTATAGTTGTAGCACGATTGGGTCGGTTTGACTGGACAAGGACCACGCTCTCACAGAATACTAGCTTAAAATAGCAACTTAACTCTTATGTATTTCGTATGGTGAGTGTAGAGAACTGGAGACCCTTTTTAATGGAAAAGAGACATTCCATTTAGTCCTCACGGACACAACTCAACTGCATTTTGATTATTTATTGAGGATAGATGTAGATGTCTATGGGTTACAGCAGCCACTTACTATCAGGTGGACTGTGTGTTCGTTTGTCATCCTATCCTATATAAAAAGGTTAATTTCTTGCGTGCCGACTTGTGCCCATCTGTCATTCAAAATCGGTTACAGAGTCATGACATTTGGTATCCTTTTCTATCTTGCAAAAAAATCTATGGGGGTGGCCTGTTTTCAGCAGTAGACTTATGATGATAACACAAACAGTTTCTCAGTATTTATAGTGAAACCTGGATAGGTGGGACCTTAAGGGACCTGCAAATTTGTCTCACTTAATGAGGTATTCCACTTACCCAGTGTCTCAGACATCCAGGTATAAATAAATATCTGTCTCATTTACAGAGGGTTCCATTAATAGAGGTGCGAATAGATGTTATTTCAGTTATAGAGGTGCGATTATTAAATAAAATAACGTATTTTATAAACATTAAAGCCATGTGCGGAATTTGCGGGTAGAATAAAAATTAGTAAACAAAACGGGACACAAGATATAGTCTCAGTCAAAGAGGTAAAATATACTCGCTGTCTCAATTATAGAGGTAATTATGACGATAAAATCGAAAGAACTAATCCCAGATATAGATGCTTGTTTTGTCCACTAACAGAGGTAATTCAGTGCTAAAGTATCGGGACCTAAGCATGAGTTCCAGCTATGGGGGTTTCTCACTTATCCGGGTCCCACTTAACCAAGTTTTACTGTATATAGTTTGAAAAAAAAAGTTATTTAATTGCCAAGATGCTTAGTAAATGGATAAGCACAATGGAAATCATACTGTCGCTATTGAAAAATAGAATGTACAGATAACGAATACGAATGGTAATATCTGTGATGCGATATAAATAATAACTTTCATCTTCGATACTTTAAGACTAGGACAATTATATTACGTTTATTCAACAGTCTACCTTTACCGTTCAAATATAATTCATCTGTCGATCATTATAAAGCATAGTTTAAGTTATTTAATGTACGCAACATCTAACTTTGTTAAATACTGAGTGTACCGTTAACTGAGGTTTAGAGAGGCGTTGTGCCCTGTACCTTTGTATAACTTACAACCTTGGAAAAGAGCATTGAACTTTTACGGAGCCGTGGGCTAGAGTAAATGTAAAACATGGACGAACTATTATGTACTATTCACACTTACATAAATAAATTAGAGTAGGTATATATTTAATTAATCAATCATAATACGAGTATAATAATTCAACGATCTGTTTTTGTCCTTTTCTAAGGAGACCTTTACAACCTTTACTATTGATTGATTGTTTGTTATGATTAATTCGATTGATAAAGACTCATTAGTGCAGTAGTATACAGTGAAAACATATAAAAACCAATTTTTAAATCCGTCAAAATATTACAGCATGTTTGTTAAATATTATACATATAAAACCAAATGGTCAATAATCAAACATTGTAACCGGCATTTCGCACCTATGAGCTTTTATTCTATAGCATCTATATAAGCACTTATCATCAGCAGGCAGGTTTCATTGGTCGTGGTAACTCATATAGAAAAGCAACATAGAATACGTAATGTACTACAAAGTGACTATCATATTGATTACCTGCATATGGAATAATAATCAAGCACTGACGTATAACGGATACAATAATATGATTTTCTTATTGATTTAACATGTGCATGCTTGCAGTGCAATGCGAGTGCTTCACAAGCTGCCTACCTACATTTAAAAAGCATGCGAAATTGTGCTAAAATTGCGAAATATTTTTTTTAAGCAACATTGTCTTTTTTGTCTAATATTATTTATGCAATATCTCCATACGATGTGTGAGACGTAAAAGACATATTTTTAAATTAAAAACATTACCTCTATAGTTGAATGTTTTCCTGTATCGTAGAGATGTTTTACATTCATAAATTGCGCTTTGGGAAATATCCACACCCGGAACAATTATTTTAGGTCATATAATTATTTTTAGGTCATACGAGTATTAATAAATGTTCCGTGCGGGATTAGGACCCGCGGCTCTACAGTGTCGCAACTAAACACTTAGCCCACTGCGCTACCACGCCCTCATATATTATTTTATTAGTAATTTAAGCAGAAGTGACTTAGTTTATATTTATTGCTTAATTAAATTATAATTTAAGGAAAACTGGTAGCATTTAGAATTTTGCTAAATTAGTCTTGCTAGATCAGATCCACGCTGCGGCTGTATTACGTCTACAAAACAAATGGAATGGCTCGAATAGGCTTTTGTTTAGCTAGTTCATTCAGTGTGTTATACCATCTTCGGAAACATCTTCCCTTACTATCCGCCGGGATTATAGTAAAGCTCTGGCTTATAATAGTTTAAATAAAACCTATTTAAAAACAAGCTTTCATAGACGTTTCTACGACCAGCGTCCGCGTCCATTATAAGATCAGCTCCATGTTATATATTTGTTATATATATTGTTGCATTGTGGTCGACGTTACATACCGTTACAGCCTATTAAAGTCCACTGCTGTACATAGGCCTCCCCCATAGATTGGCTCATGGAGGAGATATTTGCCATAGTTGCCACGCTTGCCAAGCGGGTTGGCAACCGCAATTTTTTTAATCAATCGCATATAAATGTCAAACTGTCAACTGTCAACCGCGAAGTCTGAGGGATTCTTTTCGTGACAAAGACTCTTCTATTAACCCGAGGATATTAAAAAACCACCTTTTGTAATAGAGCCGTGTTGATTTTCATTATGTAGATTTCATATTAAATTTTAATCCACTGTTTCCAGACATGCTACGAAATGGAGCGGTACCTCAGAGAGGAGCCCCGAGGGAAACGGCGGGAGCCTCCTCAGGAAGAGGAGTGGGCAAGATCGGCGACCTCTTCTCCTCCCTCGCCGCAATCTCTACCCTCGCCCAGGCTGTTCATTGTCACGACCGTGAAGAGTGAACCTCCCAGCGACTCTGACGAACCTAGAGGTTTGAAATACAATTTCTCACTCTTTTATACAAAGTATTTGAACAAATCTATTAGCACTACATTTCATTTGGTAACTCGGTAAATAGAGTTACATTAAAAGGTATGCCAATAACAAATATCTAGCATGTACATATTATGCTAGTTTCTCGGAAATGGGTCTTACGACTTGTGCGTAAATTTTGTATTTATATAATGTTTTACTATTCAAGTTTATCACGCAAAGTGTCATTAATGAGTAAAGTATAATAATTTTATAACGCCGAGTAATTAAACAAAGCAGCCGTTCAGATTTCTTCTTTTGAAAAATTATTTATAAAGCCGCGTCTCCACCAAAGTTTTGTTGTCAACACAACATTTGCCAACAAAACTTGTTTCGATTTTCGGCGGCAACATCAAAGGAATACGCTTGTTGCCATCATTTGTTCCCTCGGTGGAGACGCTTGTTGACAGAAACATTTGTTGGCAACACGTGTTGACAAATGTTGTGTTGACAACAAAACTTTGGTGGAGACGCGCCATAACCTCACAACATCTTCATCATCATTACAAGATGTTCATTGCTGAACCTTGCCAAGCCTCCCCATTATACATAAACCTCCACATTAGAAGAAGAAGAAGATATTGTAAATTATGTGCATCATTTATTTAAAAACTAAAACTTTCACAGAATAGCTCCTTAATATAAATTATTGATATTACTTTCTGAATCTCAAAACAACAATTAGATTTCTGTTTATAAAAAAAATGCTTCCTTATACGTACAAGTTTCCTAATGTAGTTCATATTAAATTTTCAACAAGAAAATTGCTGAACGGTAAACGTGACGTATCAAGTAACTTCTTCCAATCGATATTTCGCTTTTTAAAGAGCACGTTATGCTCTTATCATTTGAAAGAAAGTGCACTTTTTATTAATTTGTTTTTATACCATTAACTTATGATTATAAATATTATAAGAATGCAGTTGTCATTATTTTAAAAATAATCCGACTGGGTTTCTTACTGGTCACTTACCAGACAGAGGTATTGTCCGAACCAGTGTTAAAAATGACTTTCAGTGAGTATTATGTAGTAATCTACATTTAATTTAAAAATATTGACATATGCGTACTGCTCTAGTTCGCACAAAGCACTTGACGCCAGGAAATGTACACTACGATGTCAAATACGTGTCGTGTTTCCCCCTAAAACGAGGGCGATGCTCACCAGGAAATCCGTACAATTAAGTATCTTATGCGGGATCTAGCAAAGTTATAACGATGTCCTCAATGCTGATTTCAATCAGACATTTTTATCCCGAGTAGATTATAGTTATTTTTGTTTACTACGTAATAAAATAGAAAACTCATGAACCCCATACACTTTCATTCATTTATTATGTTTAAACATTAATATAAATGTATATTTTTCATTTAAGGTTATTATTAATATTAATTTTTTTTATAGGATAAGGGTGACAAACGAGCACACAGTCCACCAGATGGTAAGTGGTTGCTGTGACCCATAGACATCTACATTTATCCTCGATGAGGAATCAAAATGCAGATGCGTTGTCAGCCGTGAGGACTAAGATGGAATGCCTCGTTTCCAGTAAAAAGGGTCTCCGGTTCTCTACACTCACCATACGAAACACAGCAACATTAAGCTGCTATTTTACGCTGGTATTCTGTGAGAGCGTGGTCCTTCCCCGGTCGAGCCGACCCATTCGTGTTACAACTATACCAGAAATATAGCTGCAGCATGGCTCTACCACGTGTATATTATTTATAATTGCACATTTATACTATACACCTACTCGTGTTATAATACCCTGACACTAAGCAGTAATCGAGTGAGAGAAGACGATACTGTGGTTCTAATAATTAATAATATTCAAACATATTTCCCTTTCCAGAAACACCTTACTTAAATTTTAACTTTTAAAAATTTTTGTCTCACTTTAAACAAAAAATAGATTTATGCACGGAAACATCTAGGAAAATAGTTTTTTATAATTTATTAAACCTTTTAAAATTCATTCATGAGTTTGATTATAATACGATTTGTTATCGATTCATTACACGTACCTTAATAGTATCAGACTTTTGCATAGCTGTAACGGGTACAGTAAATTCTATAAATTCGTAAACATCAGCTTAACAAAGACACTTGTTTGCACTTTCCCGGAACTACCAACATGTGTGCTCACATGTTAGTATCGGTGACATCAATTTACAATGTTTGTCTATCAAAGCCCTTGTTTATAGTTCTAAAGCGAACAGTTTTGGGTCAACATACTAACAGTTTCATATACGGTTCAAAGGGCAATGCCGCTATGAACTACGCACACGCTATTACAAGCTTCCCCTTTTCAAAATTGGTAACCTAATTCATGGTAGAGCGCGCGTGAATTTTCATTGCAGGCGGATTCCAATCGGGGTCATGGCAACCTAGTAAGAATCAATGCCAACAATATTGTTTATTAACCGCTAAAATGTTCTCTGTAAATATATGTCTCTTACTTCTCAGAATGTATATTCAGTTATTCGAACTGAAGGCGAATATTCTGAATATACGTAGAATCCTCGGCTTGGAATTTTTTTTTTTTTGGTAACCGTGGTGGATCTAGATTATTAGACTCTAGATTCTAGATTATTTTCGTCGTAAATTGTACTAAAAACATCGATAAAAAGCCTTTGCATGCCAAAGGTATAAAATAAGATTTTAGAACATAATAATGACCTCCAGACCGAATTTCGGTCATGGCGACTGCGGCTGGTCTAATGGAGACTAGCCATCTGCGCAGAACAGGATAACTGATTTTGGCCTGACCAGGGATTCGACCATATGATCAGCGGTCGCTTTTTCGAACTCTTGACCAACGAGGCAGTCAAAGAGGATATAGGAAGGCCGTAGTCACGGACCTAAGTAATGCTGTGATCTCTTCCCCAGCTCGGCTAGGAAAGAGTCAGATTTAAGAGTCAGATTCATTATAAATTTCAGCAGAGGTACTTTATATCGATACTTTTTCACGTGATAGAGCCATGCTGCAGCTATATTAGTAGTATAGTTGTAGCACGAATGGGTCGGCTCGACCGGGGAAGGACCACGCTCTCACAGAATACCAGCTTAAAATAGCAGCTTAACACTGTTGTGTTTCGTATGGTGAGTGTAGAGAACCGGAGACCCTTTTCACTGGAAAAGAGGCGTTCTATCTTGGTCCGCACGGCTGACAACGCATCTGCATTTTGATTCGTAATCGAGTATTGACGTGGATGTCTATGAGCCGCAGCAACCACTTACCATCAGGTGGACTGTGTGCTCGTTTGTCACCCTTATCCTATAAAAAAAAATCGACAATGTCAAAACTAAATCAATTGCAATTACTTTCAAACATTACAAAATGGTTTATAAAACAGAGATAGATATAATAATCTTTGCCCAAATAGACTTGTCTTTGCTTACATGCTCATCGTCTGCGATTGCAACGCTACTTACTATGAGGCGTGTATGTGGTCTAAACTTGGCCTAAATTACTAAATGAAAACTATTATTTCTAAGTAAATTGTAGCGGCTATATTCTTCGCGGTCTCTTCTTATGGCGGCGTCGTGTGGCAGTTCGTCCACTTCACTTTAATACTATGGTCGAGGAGAGTGATGGCTGCTACATGCGTCATACTTGTTAACAGGTGCTGCTTGTGGGGTGTTCGCTACACGCTGATACACTCCAACTAATTAATCATCGTTTTTTGAGTACATCATGGTACATACTCGTTTTTCATGATATTTCTATGCTAAGTAATATTAAATTAAAACTAATGACAAAAAAGATACCTGCGAAGTTGCTTTCGCCGTTTCTTCTTCAGTCATTCTCATTTTGGTGCCGTAGTAGATTTAAATGACAATTTACGTAGAAGAAATAGTGATTTTTATTTCATTTAATTTCTTACGGAATACATGTATTACAGATGAGCCGCCGAGCCCGGCCCCGGTGAGGCGGCCGCACGTTCCTCGTCTCCACCCGCACGCGCACGCTACGGACCCGCGCCGCCGTGTGCACCGCTGCGAGTTCCCCGCCTGCGACAAGGTCTATACTAAAAGTTCGCACCTTAAAGCGCATAAGAGAACGCATACGGGTCAGTATTGTTCCACATTTAAAATTATTCTTTAGGGAGCATATTTACCACAGTAGGTAAACGACATCATTTCGTATATAAATCACAGCCCATCTTCACCTTCATTATATATTGTATAAGCCTTTAACCGTAGTCGGAAATAACATTTTCGTGCTTCCGCATGGAGTTCAAGCTCATGATATGACACTTTTAACATTAGTTATCTACAATATATTACCTATATTAAGTAGGTTGTGTTTTTATACTGTTAGCTCGTGAACGAAGCGCTCTAAAATCTAGAAGAGTAAAACAACAAGAGTATAAATGTTTGTCTGATTTAAAGACGCAATTTTATGTTGCCACTGCAGTAAATACATAGAAAGTTTTGAAGTGTATATTATATCTATATTGATTTGTAAGTCACATTATATAATTTATTATTTATGCCAGCACGATACTCGAATATGATACTCTCGAACGATCTGCAAACGGCTGACAATGCAAAAACTTATAAGTTCGCTTTGGAACTTATTAATGATCATAGAAAATAGTATCTAACTTTAGCGGCAATTGTAGCCTTTTAAATTGAAATGGTAAATTATTTAGTATAATTTTAACGTGGGCGTCTTATATATTTTATTTCTTTTATTAAAACATTAATTTATTTTCAAGAAATCAGCCATCAATATCAACAATAAATTTTAACGTTTTTATAAGCTTTAATTAACTTCAACGCTCTATTAATGATAAAATTAATATGCATCAATTGTAGTCTATATAGGTATGCGACATTTTCTGATAATTCGTCTTTGTGTTGTTTAGAACATAAAATCCTATTATTTAATACATCTACAGGTATACTAAACACATCTATAATATAAAAATGAATCGCTGAATGTGTTGCTAAGCGCAAATCTCGAAGGCAGCTGAACTGATTTCGCTAATTCTTTTTTTATAATATTTCTTGAAGTACGAAGATGGTTCTTATAGAGTGAAAATTTTAAAAAATTGCCTGAAAAGTCTAAAAACAACACTTTTCTATATTCCCATACAAAAGATTCTTAATAATACTTAATAGTAAATTTGAACTTTAATACCATACCATAAAGTTTTTAGTGGAGGGGTTCCGGGAAGGCAAAACAATTGAGTGACGTTAGTATCGTATAAATATTAATGTCAATATTTATACATACTGACATATAGCTGATGTTATAAGGAGTAACTTGGGCTGCTTTTATTTTAGGGTTCCACGAAAAATAACTCCACACGGGCGAAGTCGCGGGGAACAGCTAGTAAACATATAAAGACTCACACAGAATTTTACTAACATTTGGCTAAATTTAAATCCTACACGAATTGTGGTCTTTTTTTCGGGATTAAAGTATTATACGCTATTTCAAACCCTAGTAAATCTCCATTGTAAATTTCATTATAATCTTTTAGCAATTTTAGTATAAAGATGAAATTATAGAATTATAATTTATTATATTTATATGTTAATAGATATCCCAAAGGAACCATACATTTTCCGTAATAAAAAGTATTGTATGTGCTATCCCAACACTTGAAACACAAACACTGTACATACAATATTGAATCGAAATCCGTTCAGCCATATTTAAATGAGAAGATTATGCATCTCGACATGCTCACTATTCAGTCGTATCTTAAGAAATTATCCTTAAGATACTTCAATTCGATTAAAGAACATTCAAATGCCATTGGTGGTAGAGGCGGGTATGTACTCTCCAACGTTTTGTTTTTATAGAATAAGGGTGACACGAGCACACAGTCCACCTGATGGTAAGTGGTTGTTGTGGCCCATAGACATATACATCTATCTTCGTTTGCGAATTAAAATGCAGATGCATTGTCAACTGGGAGGACTAAGATAGAATGCCTCTTTTCCAGTAAAATAGGTCTCCGGTTCTCCACATTCACCATACGAAACACAGCAGCATTAAGCTGCTATTTTACGCTGGTATTCTGTGAGAGCGTGGTCCTTCCCCTGTCGAGCTGACCGATTTGTGCGACAACTATACTATTAATATAGCTGCAGCATGGCTCTATCATTAATGCTGCTATATTAATATGCTATCTGCTTATAATGCTGCTCTCCATTCCTCCTTCAGGAGATGTCCAAAGAACGTTCTTCTTGATCCCGATGATGAGATCACTACCCTTAATAAGTCCAACGCTACCCCACCCCTCTGCCGTAGAGGAAATCCGATCCACTAACACAAACACACACACACATATACATTCAGGCGTACCATAATACTATATCAATACAATAAATCAAGCCGATCCGTTGTTCCGCTTTTGCGTAAAAGAAGGACAAACCAATAAACACACTTTCGCATGTATAAAATAAAAAATATAAGTAGGGATAATGCAATAATTTCTTAAAGCTTTATTATACGAGAAAAATTCTTTAACTTGTTGTATAGAACATTTTTCATTATAACTTTGTACTTTGTGTTTCTTCAACTTAAATTTTTATACAAAGTTCGCGAAAAAACATAACCTACCATTGTATAAGAAGATAATTTTAAATAGGAATGTAATTTTTTCCTCTTTTCCTCTCAATAATCAGTCTGTAAGAACTCACTGCTGGAGTTAGGCTTCTCCTGTTGCATGAAGAATATGCCGTAAACACTTCGCTTGGCAAACGGCTTGGTAACTAACATTTCGCACTTCGTTTTTTTTTACGTATGGAATACTCGTATAGACTCGAGATAGCATACAGCTATCTGTCGAAGGACATGAGGTCTTATTGGATTTTTGTTTTGCCTTTTATTTGTTGCCTCTTACGATATCCAAGAGTTGAATTCTCTTACGCCTCAACCACACTAAAATAGTAAAGTTTAAAATTTAAATGTCTAATATCGGAATAACTACGATCCATTTTTAAAATCTTTGTCTGTCTGTCTGATTGTCTGCCTGCCTGTCTGCGCTCATCTTCGGAATGACTGAGCGGTTTGTGATGAAACTACACGAACACGTAGAGATACCAGAAGTGAACTAGGATTATTTTATCTTCTATTTATGTACATCGAATTTAATTCGTGAAACATGAAGAATTTCTTGTGAAATGAGAAAACGGATAAATAAAATGGCTTCGCTTGGCTTAAAATTGTTGGATTATTGAAGATCTGCAGATTTCTTTTGTTAAGTTCCACGTCAAGAAAATCGCTGGATAAAGCTAAAGTTAAAATGTATAATACATTATAAATATTTCATTTTCCCACATTAGAATAATCAATTAACATTTTGTAAATTGCTTTAAAATGTTTGTAAATTTTTACCAACTTATTATTGCCGAAATGGTATAACAAATCGCTATTATCCGCTCGACAGACGTATTTAAGGAAACATGATTCTATCACTTCAAGCGGAGTACGTGGTGATTCAATATACCACGAGACGAGAAGGCCTTTATAACATATATCATAAACATTCTAAAAAACTTTCCGATCTCAGAGACAAGGCGAGAAGACCGAAAATTATACACTTTATAGAGTTAGCTTATAGTACCTACTCGTACTACATGTAACATAGCTAGTAACAAAATAGCTATCTTGAATTGGGAGCTAATAAAACGTGTAGGTAGCCAAACATAAGAATAAAATCATATTTAGTTTTTTTCCTATAAGTAATATGATTATATAAATTCCAATAATTTATTTTTTTACTAGCTTTATTCCGCAGCTCCGCTCGCGTAGACTTTGGCGACATCATTAGTGTAATGCCGCCACCACACGCTTGGTGTTTGCCACAAACACCATACACGAACAAACACCGACCACATTCACCCAACACAAACACGGCAACCACTCGCTCGGCGAACGTGCTAGTATATTCCGGATAGGCAAACATGACGGACGACGAGCTTGTGGCAGCGATTACTTTCGGGTTGACCTATTTTTATTTAAAAATAAGGCAATATAAATTGCTCTCAAGGTTATTGTATTGAAGAATTTATTTACCATAGAATCTCAAATCAATTCTCAATTATCACTGCTATAAATTGTCTTCAGGTTGAAATAAGTTTGGTTTAAACGCTTATATTCGTATTACATAGCTGTTTATTATGTAACACGTGACTCTAAATTAATCTAAAAACAAACGTTTATTAAATTAATGCTTGACCGAGGAATCGAACCCCGAATTTCGTTCGACATTATATTGAATCTATTTACTTTTAATATAGATTATCTCTTTATTTGAAGCGCCTTATACAATTTAATAGCAATATTTTCAAAACGCACAATTGTTTATTTTTTATGGAATGAAAATGATATACTATTTTTTTAAGCGCTTTGCCAAAACTAATATTAGTAATGCATATGAGTCGTTTTCCTCATAAAATGATTATTTTTAACAGCTTACAATAACATTACAAAGTTACTAATGCAGCTAGTCTTAGGTCTTGTCTATGAAAATGTTACGAAATTTTTACTAATCCAGATGTATTATATAAGTTGGTCAACTATTACTCGTTAACTTCTTGATTCTACTTAGCTGTGATAGTTTTCCTTTTAACTGCATTATATAAACTACTATTGGGTATACTTTTCACATTTCGATAAACATCGGTTAAGTTGGTAGGGGGGGGGGGGGGGGGGGGAGACACATGACTCTAATGAAAAATACTACTTTAAAGCTAAATATTTCACAAACGGACCCCTGAATCGAAAAGATGTTGTTGAACACCCCCAATGTTTTTGAAAGACCTATCCAACGATACCCCACATGATAGAATAGACACGTAAAACATCATCCTCCATTTACTTGTATGGGAAGTACCCAAAATAAAAATGTTTTTTAAGATTTTATTTCACATTTTTCTAGGCGTTATTAATATGCACATGGGTCTGAGCAAAACCGAGGGAGGAACGAACGGACATGGCGAAACTATAAGGGTTCCTTGTTGTGTAACTACGAAAGTCTAAAAACTATTAAATCAGGATATACTAAACTTATTGATATGTAGGATATACTAATCTTATATAATTTAT